ACTGACGCAAACCACACATTCTGATGAGTAATTAGGTGGGATGTAAAAGCTACATCACCTAGTCTTCCAATCACCAATAACTTCCTGAAAGTTGTATCCTTTATTTTTTTTCTTTTACTTGTACAGAATGCATGGTTATACTCAAGGTCCAAGTGTCCAGCTTGTGTTTATAACCAGCGAAGAAACACAACTCAGGTCCTCAGCCTGAATTGACAGGTCCCCGTGGTCTAGTCACAGCTGTCACTGCACATAGATCCTCGTCTCCTGCCTTTTCTCTCCTCACGCCCCTCTCTGCTGCTGGAACCATCTCATTTAGAACAGAGCTCTGAAGGATTAAAGATACAGTCCCAAGTGTTAGAATCTCAGCACCAGATGAAGCTTGTGCTTATGCCGATAGGAGGGTGTGATGGTCATTTACTCAGGGAAGCACTCAGTGTAAAGCTAGCACATGGTGTTATCTTGGGAAGCGCACACACTGACGTTTAGACCCAAGATCCAATACCTCCAAGCTGGGTGACCTTGAACGAACTTAGACCTTGGACAAAGATTAAATAAACTATTTGGTCTTTCTGATTTTCAGTTTCCCTTCTGGAAAAAGAAGACACTTGCTGGGGCGTGTTGAGGCTTAAATGAGAGCAAGAGAACCTCCCACACTGAGTCTCTGCTCACTCAACCTCAGTCCCCAGAGGCCCGCATCTTTCAAGCCCTTTGCTTTGAACTTGTCCTCGTTTGTCCCATATTTGTTTTTTTTATTCTTCAAATAACCACAATATAGAGCTGAAGAATATTTTAAAGTATTGGTATTAATCAAATACATTTACATGTTCTCTTTTACTCAATATTAATCTTTAACAACATTTAGAAAAAATGCATGTCCAAAAGCAAAAATCAATGACTTTTTAGAAATGTGTCAGTGTTTGGGGACAGGTAGTAGCATTGGCTTTAAACTCTTGTAAATGAATGGCCTTTATAACTAAAGGGATTCTCTGCTTTTGTAGCTGGGCTGAGTCCTAAGCGAAATTTTTTTTTCCTTCAGGGCCAGAATCATAGTTTGCTTTGAGATAGTTACATAGTCTTCCTACTTATGTTAGCTTTATGGTGTGTAGAATGTAAAAGTAATTGTTAATGTTTTCTTGGGGTAAAGTAGCACTGGACTAGAGGTCAGCCTTACTAAAGTGGAGTAAGGGAAAGCATCACAGTATCATAGATGGGAGGAGGGGCAGGGACCCCAGGAGTCTGCAAGGGCAGAGATCTAATCTGATCAGGGACTTCGGACCAAGCTCTGACAGTACAGGCCCTTTTCATAGGTCCTCACATTATCATATAGCCTGTAGGTGGCCAAGAGTCATCATTAAAACAGTGGCCTCAGGTGTACCTGCTCTCATCACTACCATCTTTAGACAACTTATATCACATTTTTCTGCAGTTGTCCATGATATAATACCTATGGAGGAAAGCTATGACTTCCCACGCTTGTTCCAGTCACGCCCTCATGTAGCCATTCTTTGAGAGCTGGTTATATAGCAGGCACAGTGTTTGTGGTGCCCAAATGGGTGAATTCCAAGCCTTATCCTTACAGGACTAAGGGTGTAGGGAGAGGCTTGTATGCAAACAAGCAAGTAGGGGGTGTGCTCCACTGGGGTGTCCACAGGCATTCTGAGAGCTCAAAGGTGGCAGGACTAGCTGTTGGGGATTAAAGGGGAAGTGATTACTTCAGGACTGGTGATATTTGTGCTGAACCTTGAAGGCCAAGGTGTTGATGGCCTGGCCTCTAGCTCCAGCTCTGCATATGCATCTACCTTCCCTCACTGGCTGACTCACAGCCAGGTTCCTCATCCCTGAGGAGGAGACAGCACCCACCTTTCCTGCCTCCGGGGGTGGGAGTGAGGTGACAGTGAGGCTGCTTCTGAGGACTCTCACCTGTCTGCTGGTTCTTCCTCATGCCCCGGCAGTGTTCACCTGCAAGACGGTGGGCCTGCTGGGGCTCAGGGTTCAGTGTGTGGTTCTGAACTTCAGATTTGTCCTCATTGGAACAGTGTAACTATGTCCTGTCGGTCATGACCCTGACTTTCTTCTATGACAAAACAGTTTGCCTTTAGAGTCCGATGGCCTGGAAATCCTCATTCTTTCTCTTGCAAGCTGCGTGACCTTGCAGAGGTTGCATAGTCTCAGTTTTCTCATCTGTAAAATAAAGATGATGAGAGTAGCAGAAATCCTGTAGGGTGACTGTGAGGATTAGAGGAGATCGTTTGTATAGAGTACTTGGTACATACTCTTTTATTCATCATCATTGGGACAGGGAGAGTACCAGAAAGAGTCTCAGGGACTCAAGATAATCCGCCTGCTCAGCCACCTTTTGTGGTTGTCCTGCCATGGTTGAAGTCATTGCTACCCACATAGCACTGGGGGGTTAAGAAGGGATGACCCACTCTATCTTCCTATGTTCTGGATAGTGTAGTAGTTGAGACTGGATGACTTCTTTATTACTATCATGTATTTAAAAATAGGAGAATATTATTCAAGCCCTAAAAAGGAGGCAAATTTTGACCTATGTTATGAGTAAATCTTTAAGGCATTATGCTAAGTTAAATAAGTCAGTCACCAAAAAGACAAATGCGGTATGATTCCATTTATATGAGACACCAAGAGTAGTGAAATTTCTAGAAAAAGAAAATCAAATGGTGGTTACCAGGGTGGGTAGAGGAATGAGTTTAATGGGTATGGAGTTTCAATTCTGCAGGATGCAGAGTTCTGGAGATTGATTGTATGGTAATGTGAATGTACTCACTGCTACTGATTAACATGGTAAATTTTATGTGTTTTACCACAATTTTTACAAAGCTTCTTAAGCATGTGCCAAGTGTTAGGCACTACCCCTGGTGCAAGGAGAGACGGCGTGAGTACAAATGTGGCCCCGCCTCCCCTGACGGAACTTACAGGCTGGTAGGGGGACGCATGTCAAAAAGAATGACACTATGGGCAAAAGTACAGGAACAAGTGCTACAAAGAGCAGTTCACAGAACCATGAGAACCTAGAATACAAAGACTTGACCTTGACAGGGAGGCCAGGCCAGGCCAAGGACAAAAAGGTGAGTGGGACAAAGGAAGACCATTCTGAGGATGTACAAAGCATGTGCCAAGCTTACAAGAGGGGAGAGCCTGAAAGTGTGGCTGGAGCGCAGAGAATAGAGGAAAGCGCGCTGCGGGAAGCGGCCGGTGAAGGCGGAGGGGCCGGGCCACGCGGCCTGTTGGCCGTGTTAACTTTCGGCCCTCTGTTTGAGCAGAGTGGGAAGTCTTCGGGGGTTTTGAGCTGAGGATAGGGAGGCAGACTGAAAAGCGGGTTTATGTTTCGAAAAAATAGATCTGAAGGAACATTTTTTTCTTACAAGGAAAAATCTTACCAACTACTGAGAGTTGCCTCAATTATCCACATGGAAAAAAATTGAGTCCCTTACATGTTTCTCAGCGCCCTGATTTGAGTACAAATGGTGGCCCATGTCCCATAAGTCAATAGTTACAGGTTATAATCGATCTAACAAACTATTATCAATATTTTCTTTCTTCCTACCCTGATAACCATGTCTCTGTAACTAAAATGTCAAAAAAAGATATGTACAACTATGTTTTTTTTATGACTAAGAGTAGGCAAAAGATTCAAGATAATTGCATTAACTATAACGCACTGTCTGGGTGTCCTTGTGGGTCAATGAAACACTTAAGTAATAAAATAAATATTTTATAATTAATAATTTCCTATTCCATAATGTTTGTCTTCTTTATAGAAAAAAATCATGAATGATATTGTTTTAATTAAGATATTTATATAGTTTTCTGTTCTTTTAACAGAAATACTAAGACAGCTTTCTTTTTATTTTGTAATGGGTTTATTGAAATATAATTTGCATATCATACAATTCAACATCATTTCAATTTGAAGAAGCTGTGCCCTCCAGAGGGCACATCAACCTAAATTGTTAACAAAATTCATAAAGCAATATTTAGGTTTGAAAATGAAGGGCATATATATAAAACATACCATATTCCAAGCATCGCAGTGGGATTTCATACAACAAATTATTTTTATCACAGAAAATATTAGAAAATATTTTAATTCCATCATATAAATCTCTATCACTGATACAACAGCTTTAACTATCTTTCAAGCAGCTTTTCAATCTAATACAAATGTAAAGCCCAGGCATCATATATCACACATGTTATGTCTGGGCACCTATAGAAATGCAAGAGCAATTGAACTGATTTGCTACTTTAAACTGTTCCTGGGCTGCCAGGTACAGGTGGTAGAGGACCTCCTAAACAGCTAATTGGAATATGAGGAGAAACAAAAATATAGACACTCGTACAATGGGGCTGGTGCTTCATTGTGCGAAGATCAGTTGTGTTCCTTATCTCAAAGGCAGGAATTGACAAGTCGATTAGCCTTTCCTCTTAGCCAGGTGCTCCTGCTGCTCATACCACCTCTGCTGTCTGGGGCAGCCTCTGTTACTGCCACTGCCTGTGTAGCAGTGGGGAAAGCCCCAAGTGCCCGGAGCTTTCAGACACAGCTGCCAGTTGTTTGGAGGACTTAGGGTAAGGGGTGTTCCCTGGGGTGTAAACATGTTAGTCACAAGGCCTGATGTTTAGGATTACTCCAAGTGACACAGACACTCTTACGTCCTCAATAAATTGTGTGTGTGTGTGTGTGTGTGTGTGTGTGTAAGAGAGAGAGAGAGAGAGAGAGAGAGAGAGAGTATGAGAGAGATGCTAATTGTTGATTGATTTGAGGCCTTCTAAAGCACAGTGTCCAGCTGTGCTAAAGACCCCTCTGCCCAGGATTTAGGATGGTACTCTCCTGCATCAGCACTCGAAAGGCCTGTTCCAAGTTCATCCCATCAGCCTGTTAATCATGATATGGACCAACATTGCCAGGCGGTCCTATCTTTCTCAATGCTTTCTTTGTTGAAGAGTGCTGACTGTTTTTCACTGTTTTGCCTTACCAGGAACTGGTGAAAGTGGCAAAAGCACCTTTATCAAGCAAATGAGAATTATCCATGGGTCTGGGTACAGCGATGAAGACAGAAAGGGGTTCACGAAGCTGGTCTACCAAAACATCTTCACCGCCATGCAAGCCATGATCAGAGCCATGGACACCCTGAGGATCCAGTACGTGTGTGAGCAGAATAAGGTAAAGCGCTGAAGGGCGTAGGCCCTGTTTGTGATGCTGTGTTTTCCTAATCTGTTAGCAGATGTTTTTTGAACAAAAAGGCTTACTGAGTGCTTTGGTCAGAGGCCAAAAAAAAAAAAAAGCTCTTGAGCTCAAACTCCGGAAAAGTGTGATGAATGTGGTCAGCCTTGTGGTCTACTTTATGCAGGAGTTCTAGCAGAGTGGGGCTGTGGGCGACTCCCATGCAGGGATTCAGGAATGTGGTCAGTTGTTCTGTGTGCTTATTTCAGGCACTGAGAAAAGGAAGACATATATGTGCTCTCTTTCAGCTAAGACACCCATTAGTTTTCTACTGGAGCAAGGGAGACCTTGGGTTTATAATAGACAACTTTTTAAGAATTCCCCACCTTAGGAAATATTTCACAGATTCCCTGTAGACTACTCAGAGAAAGCAGTGGGTTTTGTTTATTTATTTTGAAAGCTGGCCCTTCTTGGGAGTTCAGTGATCACTTCTGAGAGCAATGCTTTATGTCCCAAATAGCAGTGGACTCTAATAGAGTGATGATAAAAAGCTGGCATCAGCTTCCCTGTCAGCACTGGTTGTTTAAAATACAAATTGCTTTAAGACCACAGGAAATATTGAGGCAGGATGGTGAGAGGAGGGGGCAAATAAAATCGTATATGGTATAGTGGAATGCAAATCCATGGGAAAATGCTATCTGAGTTCATTAGGCATCTGGGTTAGAAATAGAGTTTATTTAAAATAATACCAAATTAAAACATGATGCGATGATAAAGAAAAAAATTCTGTCTCAGATGAGTCTCTTGTGGATCTATTAAAAAGAAGTATAGCTGCAAAAAAGCCAGAATTACATGGACTTTCATATAGACCCCAAGGACAACTTTATCATGAATTGGTGGCACCAATATTCATGTATATTTTATACAGGGTCCAGCACAAATAGTGCCCCTTTTTTATTATGAAATCATAAGCATGTAATTTTGTAACATAACAATATCACTCTCAAGCACACCATATGGCATTTTAGGTGAAATGCTCAAATTGCTGTTCATCTCAAGCGAGACATTCACGTCCCCTACCAACTGCACTCAAGCAAGGCTTACTTCTGTCAGACCCTGTACATATAATATACAAAGACTTTAAAAACAATCTAAATTTTTTACTTCTCAGTGACTGAATTACACGGAAAAACATAGCATGCACCAGGTCTTAGACTGACTTTTACATTGTGTATGCAAATTCATGTCTGCCACCATTTCCTTGCAGTCTTGAAGAAATAAAGGAGTGTATTTTGCCTGTAGTGTCAACTTCCAACAGTGTTATATGGAAAAATATGTGTGTTGAGGGGGGAATTGGCCATTAATATACCTGTTACCAAGTAATGTGAGAGGTGCACACTGAGCCACTGCGAGATTCTAAAAGTGACTCTGGTGATTCTTTCACACATTGGTTTTAAGTACATGCTCTTATATCTTTCAAACCTGTGCTATTCTTTCTTAATCACCCTGTCCAAGGTATTTTAAAAATTAGGCCATTTGTGAAAATTTATGATTAGAGGAAGAGGTATGTCAGGAACATTCTTGTGGTTCAGTTAATCTTTTTTTTTTTTTTTTTTTTGTAAAATACATTTGGTTTCTCAGTCACAGAAGGGTGACTGAGGAAGGCTGGGAATTCAGGGATGGATTTGTAAACAGACCTATTGGGAAGGAAATGTTTAAGTGTAAGTCAGTCCTGCTTACCTTAGCAACATGTTTGTAAAACCCAATCCAATTTAATGACCAAGGTCTCTGGGTTTGGTTCCCCTCACCCCCAAGGTCTTCTAGAGCTATGAGTTTATACTTTGAACAAAAAGGTTTTATGGAGTTTGACTTTCTACCATTTTCTCCTTCTCTCTTGATCTTAATTTTAATTCTTTTTCATCAGCCAATTCCACTCGATCACTAATCTCTTAGTTTCCTACAGCTGCTGTAATAAAGTGTCTCAAACTGGGTGGTTTAAAAGAGAAATGTACGTGGCAATGGGAGGCTCTGAGGGAAACCATTCCACGCGGCTCTCCTAGCTTTCAGTGAGGCCAGCAATCTTTGATATGCTTTCCTGTTTCTGCCTCTGTCTTCAGGAAGAGCTCTCCCCTGTGTGGCTCTGTGTGCACATGGTGTTCTCCTCTCTGTCTGCATCCAAACTGTCTTCTTATAAGGACACCAGTTATTGGGTTAGGGTCTACCCTAACCTATAATGACCTCATCATAACTTGATCACCTTTACAAAGCCACCATTTCCAAATATAGTTACTTTCTGAGGTTGAAGTTTGCATGAATTTCACAGAGATGCTGTTCAACTCAGTACAGTCTTTCCCCAACTTCATATCTATCCCACAAGCAAAATACATTCACCCTATTGCAATAGTCCCCAAAGTCTTAATCCATTCCAGCATCAACTCTATCTCATATATAATCTAAATGCCAACTCAAAAAGTTCCAAATCTCATCATTTAAATCATCTCAATCAGGTATGGGTGAAATTCAAGATTTGATCCATCCTGGAGCAGACTTTCTCTCTTTCCACAGACCCGTGAAACTAGGAAACAAGTCAGTATACCTTCTGTCTCCTCCTTATTTGATGTATCTGGCTCCATTCTCAATGCCTCCTTTCTTTCTGCTTCAAGGACCTACTTTCATGCTTCATAAACTTCCTCTTATCCCTCGGATATATGCCTGGGATGAACCACATGCTGAAATGGTTTAAGGAAAGGAAAAAGATTGAGTGGAAAGAACATTGGATTGGTTCCTAAAAATCTGGGGTGTGCTCATGGCTTCTCAGAGGGTTTCAGGCCGGAGTCAGCAAACTTTTTCTGTAAAGAGCCAGAGAGGAAATATTTTTGGCTTTGAGGGCTATACAGTCTCTGCAGCAACAATTCAGCTCTGCTGTTGTAGTGCAAAATCAGCCACAGGCCATGCATAAATGAAGGAATGGGACCCCCTTGTAAACTAAAACAGCAAAATGTAAAAGCTGCTTTTAATTCAAGGTCCCTGCAGAAACTGGCCACAAGTCGGTTGAATCCACAGGCTGTAGTTGCCCACCCGAGTCCTGGGGAAGCTGTGTACCCTCTCTGGTCTTGCCTTTCTCCATCTGTTCAATGTAGCCCACACATGCTCTATTTCAGAAGCCAACATGAGCAAAAGGAAGCGCTTTACAAATTAAACAGCACACTAGAAATATAAGGTTATTATTGAAGCAAGTTCAAAAACCAAATATGGACTCATTGTTTCTAGTGTCTTTTTTGTTTAGGCCAGTTTCATCCATTCCTTCGCTATTGTTTCCTGAATTATTTTCTCCATGGACTAAAACTGATTTCTGAACATGAAACTATAACAAAGTACCATACTCAGTAAGTCATAAAATGGTGAAATGATTAGAGTTCCAAAAATATTAAATAATTAAAGAAGCATGATATATAGGGTAGTATCTTTTTAACAAAGTATTGCATTGCTTGGAACAATCATTTAGTGAAGACAGGGATGAACAAAGTCTTCATTAGCTTTTATTTTCACAGTGGTGTATTCCTTCCCTAAATTCTTTTATGCTGAATATTAATTTGATTATATGATTTTTTTCCATAGCTGGGAACACTTTCTTTAAAGCATGTATAAGGAAAAGAATAATGATTTTAGAGTGTTTTAAAAGTTTTAAATGTTAGCAAGTTTATTGCTCAGCTAGGTTGTTGAAAACCTTTGCCTATTCTGGACAGGCTTCTTATGAAAGAAAAATTATTAGACATTTAGTTCAGCACTTGGCTTTTAACCAACTTATTTTTTCCAATCAAGATATAGCCTTGAAGAATATTTTCTTCTACCTTGCCTTATTTTATTTTTAAAGAAATGATTCATATGTACTCGCTCACTCTGTTGATAAGCCCTAATTTTTATGAATGTCTCTCAAGAGTGTCACATGAGCACATGTTAGAATTTATGACTTCTTGAATAAATATTCCAAAGGCATTTGCTCAGTGTGGCGGGGCTCCTAAATTTGAGTTAGCCTATAACTCATGTTTACTGGTGATGATTTCACTGAATTCCGAAAAGCTTCATATGTTTTGCTGTTTGTAGTGTCTCCAACTTGGAAAATTCTCATTCTAGACCTGTCCTAAAAGGAAATCTTTCTAATCCCCTGGCAGGTTCTGCAGAATCTGCTTGGATGATTTAGATGCAGAATTTCCCATGGGCAAAGGGCAGCCTGCCTGACTTCTCAAGAGCCTTCTAGTTCTATGTTCAGTGGTCTCTAGACAAAAGAAGTAGGCCTGTAGGCTCTCTTGGCAGCAGACCCTCAGCTTCTTCCCTGATCCCTTGTTTTCAGGAGCTCTTTACCACACTGGGGTCACATCATATTTGCATTTAAGTGACACAAACTTAATTGCAAGGGCTCATCACAAATACAAAAAACATTTTTAAAAGAAAAAAAAATCTGAACAATTATTCGCCTGCCATTCCCCTCCAAGTACCTAATTTAGAATTCAATGTTTCTAGAAGTAGGAGGTCTGAAATTCCCTTCAAAGAGCATCTTACGCCATCAGAAGCTTTTGCTGAATTCCCGGTTACAGTTGAGATGGTGGGCTTGGGCCAGCTAGCCAACCATACAGCTCAGGCTGAATGTTGAGAGTTGAGTGCACTCACTGGGCCTCTGCTAGGGTCTGTTGGAAATTTGGCAGGTTCTACATTTGGGTAAACAGATGCTTTTGTCATCAGCTCCCTGTAGTGTCTTGGGTTTCAGCTCCTTGAGGTTCCCCCTCTCCTGACTGCTGAGTTTACCAGGCAATGGGACATCTGAAACAGGGGTTCATTTGCAGTCTTGCCTGCACATTGGAATCACCAGGGGTCTTTTCTGTTCTTGCCCAAGGTACCACCCCCAAGAGTCTGAGTTAAATATCCTTGGAAAGTAGCCTGAGCTTTTGGGTTGGCTAGCAGAAGTTTCCCAGGTGATTCTGATTAGGCAGCCAAGGCTGAGA